GTCAGCATCCTGGGAAAAACTATAAAGCTTAGCCAATTACTACATGACACATAGTCCTCTGAGTATTCATCTCCTTTCTCTGGGCATGTAAAGTGAGACACTAATATGCTTTATATACAGGGTTTGTCAGCGCCTATGACGGAACACTGTTTATTTTTTATGTCTGGCTGGTGAAAATAAGAAATTCCTCTAAGATCTGGTTTCACATGGTATACTCAATAATTTTCTCAAATTAATGCTTGAAAATCAGCAGGAGAGTTGTTCTGCTTGTCATAACAACATCAACATTATTAAGACTGAAACATTGGAAGAATTAAATGGATTTTTTTCACAGTAAAGATTCATGGGTAGGTGAATATGTGGGTTGTTTATTGTAGCTCCCAGTAGAATAATACTTTGGTAAATGACAAGGGATTTACTGTCTGATTGAGCTGCCTACATTTTGCTTGATAAGACTGACTTATAAAGAATGTTCTTTGAAGGCTTTGTAACTTTCACCGTATCATGTTTGTAAGGTACAGAACAGCTGTTAATGAAAGACCAGTGCCCTCATATTATGCAATTTCCTGGATCTTGTTTGTATGAGAATCCCAGTTCATTCGACTTGTTTTGTGGAGTCATGTTGACTATTATCTGGAGACCAATATCTCTGTTTTTGCAAAGCATTGTAACCCTAAGTACATCGTAGAAATCATTGGCACCAAATAATGGTCTCTATGATCTGCTGAGGCTTTTGATGCTTTTGGAAAAGTGGTCAGTACAATTTAAACACAGCAAAAGCAATGCTCATACAAATGATGAAATTAAATTAGCACACAAATGATGAAATCCAATTAACACTTATTTTAAACAACATTAACTCAAAGGGTGAGATAACACTTGACCTGTTAATTGGCCAAGCAGGCAAGGTTATCAACTAGGGATACATATATATCGCCACCATAACTTATCAGATATTATTGGTGATTTAAATTATGTGATACTAAATTTCTCCCCCCCCCTCTAATTGTTTTAGGAAACTGCAATAGATTATAGACAAGTTACTGTGCACATGCAAACAATAACAGAGTAAAAACGGCAACTTATTACTTTTAAAGGAATAGTTAACCCAAAAATTGAAAATTTGTGGAAACTTTGCTTACCATCAGGCCATCCAACATGAATTTGTTTCTTCATCTGAACAGATTTGGAGAAATGTAGCATTACATCACTTGCTCACCAATCCTCTGCTGTGAATGGGTACAAACAGCTGATAGAAACATCACAATAATTACAAATAATCCACACAACTCCAGTCCATCAATTAACATCTAGTGAAGTGAAAAGCTGCGTGTTTCAAACCGTTGCTTCCAGCTGGAGTCCTCTATCCATAAGTTATCTCACCTGAATCAGGAGAGAAATATGCACAGATCAAACACAAGACAAAACAAATATGTTGGTGGAAGAGTTATTATGGATTATGGACTGGTATTCTGACTGGGACTGATGATTTTAAAATATCTTAATGATGAATTGTTTCTTACAAACATGCAGCTTTTCACTTTACGGCACCCATTCACTGCAGAGGATCCACTGGTGAGCAAGTCATGTAATGCTAAATTTCTCCATATCTCATCTACATCTTAGATAGCTTGAGGGTGAGCACATTTTCAGCATTTTATTATTTTTATTTTTATTTTTGGGTGAATTATTCCTTTAAATGCTCAGTAAAATTCCACATACATACATTTAACTCATTTATTTTTTATTTATTTACATTTATCTGTAATTGTCCAAAACATGAAAATAATTATTGTCTTTATCAGCATTGGCCAGAATTGTATTAATGGTGCACCTGTATCATCAGCCAATGCAGATTATTTCCAAATGGCTAAATATCGGACAGTTGACTGGCCTAGCTTGCATACTGGTCTATTCCTGACTCAGTAGGAACATGGAATTTGACCTTGTAAACAACAGCTGTACACATTTAGAAAAACAATTTACTCTATTTAAATTCCAATTAGGAACCGTATCACAGCTTTAAGTGTTTTATAATCACGTGAAATAGCACAGGACGAATAAGGGAAGACTAATGAATCTCCAATCGTTGTGTGACGGAAGGCTAATTTGTTCTTGCAGGCTCTTGTCACTGTGGTCGCTGTATCTGCTCACCACAGGAGTGGTACATTTCAGGGGAATTCTGCGAGTGCGACGACAGGGAGTGCGACAAACATGATGGGCTGGTTTGCACAGGTATGTGTTCAAATGCAGCACCGCTCCTCCAAACACCCACTCGTGCGCTGACAGATCTCTTTGTGATGGATATTGAGGTTCTCTGATGTGGCTGCCATTTGATTAGACAGCTCTGTACAGCGCTTATACTGAGCCGTCCAATCAGTGGGCTCCTGCTGTGTTCTTCTCGTCCTGCTTTTCAATGGGAAAGAAGCTCCAGAGAGAGTCGAGGTTTTCCTTAAAAGCCTTGAAGAGTTGACTAGTCAGTGCTAATAATAAGCACAATAAATATGTATTATCATGATAGCTCAAAGGCTTGAGGACGCTTGGACAACTGCTTTGAAACTTTACTTATTGGTCTTATGACGTTGTTATCAGTTGCCATGTCATTTAACAAATTATACAGTTCCTGGTGCAGAGAAGCAAAATTCATTAGAAAACAAGACGAAAAAACAAAATTGATAAAAGGAATGCATAAACGTGTCTGTTAAATGTCACTGATTAGCATATTAACTATTAGGGCATACTGTATGTCATCATTTCCATATTCATAAGGATTATTAAAACTATTTTCTCATGCTGCTCAGGGAAAACTTTCTTTTCTCTATAGATGACATGCAAAAGCATACAATCAGCCAATTCTTTCCCTTGCCTTGGGTAACAGTAATGCACTCAGCCTTTATAATTATAATCATGCAAAAATGTGCCTGCCAGTTTCTAAATAATAATTTTCATGGCTTCTTCAGTAAGATATTCTCATTACACCCGCAATTGATGAGCACTGCAGAAAATTCAATGTAATAGGGAAAGCCGAGGCTTGATTTCATGCACAGCAGATGCGAATTCCAACTGTTTGGACATTGATACAATATACGGCTCTCAAGCTTTCTTGTGAACGAAAGCCGCTGTCACATACAGCTCTTCTAATGGCGCATGTAAACAACCTCATAAATTAGACTTTTACATTAGCACGTTCCTAAGATTCTGATGTGATACTCTAATAAAGGTTTTTTTTCCACACTATTTATGTTAGAAACTTTAAAAGAGAAATTAATATTAAATTATAAATTAATACAATTATAAATAATATAACTTTATATTATTATTTTTTATTACAAAGATCTTTTACTCTTAACATTGACAGCCCTAAACATTTTGTAATAATAATAATTCACGAATTAAAAAAAAAAAAATCTAACTTGCCCTACGGGTATGAAAACCCCTGCTTTAATATGCGTAAAAATACATTGCACACAACTGTTGGATAAAATAGTAATTGTTTTTTTTTTTTAATTAGATTAAACATTTTTTATTACTTAGTACTTTTGTAATAGAAAATGATTGATTGGTTTTGATTCTAATTGCAAACAGCTGAGATGCATACTCAATTATTAACCAAAATTATACATTTGAATTGGCTTAGTAAGCTTCACAGATCATGATTTTTGTGTACACCAAATTACAATGTTCATTTACAAACGCTGAAAAAAAAGGAGCAGTAACACTATGTAATCATACCAGTGCCGCCACATGGACTGAATTTGAACTGAATAGACAGGACCCCAGAGAAAGTGGCTCCAAAACTTGCATTTGTACTTGGTTTCCCATTACATATTCTGCCAAGAAGGTGTGAAGAGAGAAAGCATGTCGAGACTTGGAGAGTGATGATTCGGGTTTCTCAGTTCTGTCTCGCCTCTCAACTTCTGTTCCAGGGAACGGTGTGTGCAACTGCGGAAATTGTGACTGCTGGGATGGCTGGACAGGAAATGCCTGTGAAATCTGGGTTGGAGAGGAGTATTAACCCCTGGTAGACACTTGATTTTGTTGTCAAGCAAGACAAGAAAAGGGCGGCTGCACCAACAGCGAACAAGGATTTTAAATTGATTTTAGAGATCTGTGCAATATAACCGCATTCAAATTTTCTTAATTAAAGCAATGTGGTTTCAGTTCCATTATATACACATAAAACAGCTGTGGGAGACGACATCTATAATCCTCTATACTTTTCCATATAACTATAACTATATATATATATATATATATATATATATTTATTAATTTATATATATATATATATGAATAATGTGTATAATAATGCTTACATAGATTATTGACTGACACATAAGCACTAAAAGGAGAGGAACCATGCAAATGGCCAATAAATAAGAGCATTTTATTATTATTCAGGTTGCTGTTTTTCAGAGCTCTGCTTGTGTGTGATGTTTTTATGACCCTATTTTATGTACGGTAAGTTCTATGTGACAAAAGTTGTAAACAGCCTGATGCCAATACATTTAACATGCTCTGAGATGTCATGAGAATGAAAAAGCTCTTTTTTGCAATCTGCATATGAAAGCTTCATTTTACTACTGTATAAACGAGCTAAACATATCTAGAATTATATCTAGATTCTTTTATCTATATGGTAACTGTGATATTTAGGGTCTGTATGCCTGCAAAATGTTACTGTTTTTTTACAGTAAATTTTAATTAGCATAAATAAAACTAGGATAAGGATGACAAATAAATCTAAAAAAATTTGACCCTTGGCTCACCCCATTACATGTTAATATCTGTATATTTTGCACAAATATTGCATCGAATTGGTTAGAGATTTTCAGTACACCTTTATATAAATATTTTATTCAATATGTTGTATCTGTGTATACAACAAACACAAACTGTACAGTGCAGACAAACTCGTTGCATATATGTATGTAAAATTAGCAGAACATACCAACAGTCCATGATACACATAGCCTACGACATGCAGTTCATATATGCCACCCTCTTCTCATGCAACAGATGAAGTAACTGTCAAATCAATGTTCAAAACCAGTCGACAGACAATGGAGACCTTCCTTCACCACTGAAAATCAGAAATACGGAAAAAACACAGAAATGATCAGTTGTTCAGCAATTGCTCCTCATTACGATTTAATGACGTCACGCACGACCTGAATGGAACCAAACAAACACAGACATTTGAAAGAGGAAAAAACAAACAAACAAACATACTAACTAATGCACACATACTCACCAGTCACTTACAAAAATAAATTCAACCTTCGTAAAACCAGTTCACTGGTCTGCAGGGCAGCTGTAGCCCAGCATGTAGAGCTCATTGGAGTGAGTGATTTGTTTCGTGTGGAAGTGGGACACCAGCCTCGAACTGGTTTCAAATATGAAGCTACTTTTCCTGTATAGTACTGCATCTCATTCTAGCATTAAATTCGACTTTGTACATACAAATATTTTCTAATGTGCTTGAACATCTCCTAATATGAAACTAGCTCAAAATCCCAATAAATGAAAATATAGATCTTCAAATGAAGTGTAGAATATATTTGTATTTAGCAGCATAACCTCGGTCTACTTCATAACATTCTAAATGGTATTCATCATTCAAACTATGAAAACTGTTAAAGCAAGACAGGCTTTATTTCAGCTCGGCTGATAATGGGCTAATCGTTCAAATCCTAAGTAGATGTGAGTAGATGACGATTTCAAACGCAAAGTGCAATGGTCTCAATCCAGAGTATGAGAGAGCCTTCTATAATCATGCCCATTCAGTGTAGCCCTATGCCTCAAACTAGCTTTAAACATTTCTAGCCGTCCCATACTTTGGTCCTTAAGAAAACACATGCAGGTGATTAGTAATAGGTACCCCGGTCTTGTACTAAATGAACAATCGAAGTGAAGGACATCATTTGGAATCTCTTCAAGTTTGAATTGAAACGATTAAAAAGTCGAGACAATTGTTCTTCGTGATGAACCCTAGTCACAATGAGGACAAAAACCGAAGAGGACCGCCATCCTCAGAGTCACTAAAATTGTTCGGCTGGATTCTCGTGTTTACGGACTTTGGTAACAATCAACTTTTGTGTGTTTGTGGATTAAGTTGCTACTGAATCTGTATTTGTGTGTGTGTGTCTGGGGCATGAGGCACCTTTAACCCAGCACAGACTGGGTACATGTTTTTGCATGCTGGGTTAGAGGTCATCACAGGCACAGGATGAGCAGTACTGGACTCTGCATGCTGAGCTAGGAAAACCCCTCTCATTTCAGAATCCTGATATCTGGTAGTTAAAAATCTATTTACTTTTTTTAAATTTTTTTTTTTTAAGATTTTTGTTTTATTTGTATACAGTGAAAACATTGTTATAGAAGCCATTTCTTGCACTGCGTCAGCGCTGCAAGAACAGAACATAATACTAACCTTGGCCATGCCTTTGCTGAACAAAATGGGTGTGCAGCCAATAGTAATGGTGCCTACTTACATTGAGCCATTTAACCGCACAGGCCTGAAATAGACTATTTATCTATGGCTGCCGCTCTCATCACATTTAAGGTGCTCACCAGAACTAGCTCATAGTTCAGAGGAGTCAGCATGTCAAAGCGGGCTTTGACCAGAGGCCTACAAGGCCTATAGATATTCCTAGAGCCCACGCTCTAAATTAAGAGCAAAGAAAAGTGGAAATTCACCTAGTTACTGGGGTTTAAACCAATTTACACCGTACTAGATTGTGATATGTACTCTATACACCTTCCCCAGCACATGCCAACTCCTTGTGTTGGACTGCTGCGGGCATGACTTATGCACTCGCTGGCATTTGCTGTCAAAGTATACTTGTGTCCCTTTCTAGACATTACAAGAAGAAGACACGAGTGCTGAACCTTGGATAATGAGTTTGATTCTGTTTAGGAGGCTCCATCCCCTTGAGAGATTGACGTCTTTTGACCATTATCAACGTGAAAGGACTTTGTGGAAATCCATCGTGTTTGAATGACTGCACGCCAGAACGCATCGCACACTGCCCCAATAACAAATTTCGTAAGTAACCGACAAAAGGGAAAGAATTGGAAATTCGTGCTTCAGAGACTGGGGGACACCTAGAAAGAAGGAGACACAAGAGCATACTTGATAAAAAAAAAAATTTTTTAAAAAGTTGTGGATTTCAGTCCGTTTATGTATATCTTTACAGTATTACCCCAGAGTGTAGCTGGTGTTACTGTGTATATAGAAAATAGATCTGAAATGTATGGTCTCTGATGCGATAGGGTTCAAGAAAAGGGTTATAACGGGTGACTGTTAGCAGGCTAAAGAACCGCCACACAAGCGCCTGCGGTACACAATTTCATTCTTGTGGATTGTCTCGATTACAGAAAAAACATCAGCTTTATTGTATGTCAAAAGGCATTCCATATCAGTTAGGGCATTCCATGGTGAAAGTTTAGCTGGTTTATCCAGTTGCATCCTCCTACGTGCACAGCTGACCACTCTTCCGGAGCCAATCCGTCGTCGAATTAGATCGGAACAGTCGGAGGAGTGAAGGGGGATGGAGGGAACTGGGAGGAGAGAGCAGAGGATGCCTGGATCTGATCCACAAACATGGAGAGTCTGACAAAAGGAGCACGGCTCTCCGAGGTTGAGCATGGCCGAGATGGGATCTGGCTATGTGGTGGGCTTGGTTTCCTTGCTTACAGGTTTGCCTCCGTTCATGATGGCCGGCTCTGTGCTTTTACTGGGAGGCACGGCAGGTTTGGGCACTGTCTCCCCCACGTCATGCAATGATGGCTCTCGGTACATAGTGACTGCAAAAGACATCAGAGAAGGCAAGAGTCAGCCAGGTAACCCCAGGCCCCATCTGTCTCTCTAATTGGAAATGATTTTTGAGGCCGACCAGGAATTTGACTATATAATAATTATGTCTAGGAAGGTTTCTCCCAACTCATTCTCATTTCGAAACCTGAAAATTGGCTAAAAAGACAACATTCACTAGGGAAACTTTGACAGGACATGTGCAAGTGTGTCAAAGTGCGGGCACGTTGTCAGCAGGGCTGCACCCTTTCCTTAGTTGTGATGGGAAGATGGTCTGATCTCTCAGGATGCATTTGACTAGGTTCACTGCTTCACATAAGTTCAAACTTACTGTATTCTTCGCAGTGCCGCTACTGGTGCTGGCTGGTGCTGCAGTATTAGCCGAGAAAATAATGAGCACAACAGGATGAAAGACTGGTCTAAAATGTGGGCATCTGTACACGGCAATAAAGCATTGCACAGACAGAAACGGGCCACACATCATTGCAAATTACACCTCAAACTGTACATAAAGCATCAATCTCACGCTAGCCAGACACATTTTACAGTGTGGCCATAAAAGAGCTGTAAGAAATATTTGAAAGGACAGGTTGTCCATCATAATGGTACGAAGGTGGGTCTTGGATATGTGGTGCTGTGAAATAATGTTTATTGAGTTGTAAATCATTATGTAATCAGATAATGGGAATATAAGGCCAAATGTTTCTGATCGAACCCTTGGTGAAGAGCTCATTGCCAAGCTAAATCATGATCATCATTTTCCCTAAATCTGAAATTCATTGGTTCCTGTGACCTGTGCTTGATCTGTACAGATGCTCTTCTAACACACATTTTAATATTTTAACTCTACAAACAAACAAAAGGGGCCGTACCAAGGAATTATGAATTTTGATTTGACATTGTGTTTCAAAATCATACAATATTTGAACAATATGACGGTTTTCACCCAGGATTTTACCCAGAACACAGCTAACAACCCTGATTATGATTTTGCCGATTACAGTGTTTCTTAACCGATTTGATACATTTCTAAGGTCAATGCTTTCAAAACAATTAGACTCATTTAATTAAGTTCTTTTAAGTTTATTTTAATTAATTATTTTCAGGTAAGCCATTTGACAAGAGTAAATTAGATGAAAACGATTGTGTTTTCTGTTGATTGCATCTTATCTGCATTATCTGCATCAAATACTATTTTTCATTCCATGCATTTTTTTAAATTCCTATATGTTTGCATATATGGTACATATTTGCAAACCAAATGTACTATATATACAGTATATATATATATATATATATAATTTTATTCCACTTCCCCCAAGCTCTGCATGTAAGGAAGGAATGGTGAAGATGGTGGCACGGATGTTGTACAGCCCCACGAGATCACAGTGCAGATTGTTGGGTGTTGGGTAATCACTGACCAATGACATTCCTCCCTCTTTTCTTGGTTTTCTTGAGTCAATATAGGTCTGCTCGCATTATGCTGAACTCTGTCTGGCCTTTATCAAGAGACTATGATTCAGTGTCAATTAGACTCTCTCATTTCATTTGAGAATGCTGTCCCCTTCCTCTCTTCTCACCTCTTCTTATATCATCTCCTTATATCATCTCCATCATCTGTCTTCCTCCTCTGCTCTTACTCTCTCATCTTTATCTCTTCATCCTATTCTCTCTTATCTTCTTCAACCTCCTCCATTTCTGTAGTTGTTTGTATTAAACTTTTAGAAAACATGAACTTTGAATGGGAGATTTTTTTGTGTGTGGGTTTTCGATGAAAATTATGTATGCTGTCATTTGTATTAACGCGGTGAAAATGTACATGTTTTGGAAAAGTGTTCAGATGCCTGCGTTCCTTGTTTTGAAAACCTTGACCTTAGTTTGAAAAAATGTATGAGAAAAACTGTAAAAAGGCATCAAGCAAAAGCATATCTCTCAGGGACTTGTGCACTTCATTACCATTCTGCCAGTGCCACAGTGACCTCAATGTTAACCGTTCTCTTGAGGTTTTCAGAGCATGCTTTACCTTCTAATGGCTTGGGCAGGAAGTGAGCAGCTGGTTTAGTTTTCTTCACCCGGTTCCCCTTCATGGCCTGGCCATCTTTATTTAAGCCAAGGAACCATGCTCTCCCCGACTCCTGCTGCCTATACAGCATGGATGAGTAGATCACATAGTAGTTTTCAAACACAGACTCTTTAAACTTGCATTCTGGCGTAAACAGTTCCTGTAAGAAAGAGAGACAAAAGAGGATTGGTGAAATTTTGTGTGGGATTTAGAAAAAGGATTTAGAAAAAACATACAAATTTCAAAACATCTTCACATGAATAATTAAAATAAATTAATAATTAATTAAATATTTAAAACAACTACTATTATCATTTATGAATAGTGAAGTATAGTGATTATATCTGTTTTACCTAATTATATATAATATTAAAAAAAAAATATTACCTATTATTCTACATAATATTAATAATGCATCCATTTAGTGTTGCCATTTCTATCGCATCTTACAACCCCCCTCCAGTTCCATCACAAACCCCTAAGCATTTGCAAACTCAGGACTGGGAAGCCCTTATTTATAACATACAGATTTAAGTCAGATGAGGGACATTTTCTATTAACCAGAACCGCTATTGAAAAGATTCAATAGACACTTCTGTCTTGTACAGCTTGTTTCCAATCATTCATTAAATATGGTGTCCACTCCGAATAACATTTATAAGATGCATGTTTATACAGACAGTTGGACAGACAGTACAATGGTAAGTGGAGTTTTGGTTTGTTTAATTAGCAGAATAGAAACCGCAAACTTGGTAACAAAACACAGAGACTTCCCAAAATAGCATTCAAATTCCTGTACATTTTCCTATTACTCTGTATGCATGGTGATATGCCTGAGGTCTAATCTGTAGGCAGGCACTGCAGGTCTGTCTGCTGATACCTGAATGAGCATACAGACAAAATAATTGGCCCCAAGACAAAATGTGATATTCGCTCATGACAAATTAATCTCTACTTTCACCTTCAGTCCAGGTGCCATGCTCAGCCATGCTATGTCTATTATTTTCTTCAAATATCCATATCCAATTGCACAATCCACACTTTGGCAAGGGCATTCCAACCTTTTCTTCACCATCTTTTCAGTGCATCTGATTCCAAACCTAAAAAGGAACTCGGAGCAAATTGTGGGCATACTGTACTCCCACACTTCATTTGGCTCCACGAAATTTCATTTTGCAGTTCATTTGAAAAGTTTGGGATCATGCCAGACTGTGAATCTAGCAGGAGCAGTAAACATTATCTGTAAATATTAAATCTAAAAAGAATTTCTCAAATTGAGAAGTTCAAAGGAACATGGTTCCCTTTCGTGGAACTTCGAACTGCGTCCTCTAGGGG